TAGTGTTCTAAGAAGTCATTAGCAGCAGTGGTAGCAGCATTAGTAGTACTTCCAGAATCTATAAAAATCCCAAAGCTATTGCCAAGCAAGTAAACACTGAGGCTGCAAGATAACGAATTGTCTCGTTTGTTAGACTCCATCAGCGTTAAGGAAGCAATTTCAGTATCAATTTTATTACTGGTCTCTGAAATAACACTTTTGGTTTGGGTATCCTTTCTGGTAAATTCTGTGGTTGCTTCCATATGTTGCTTTTCTTGATCTGTAAACATATCTGTTACTCTGCTTCTTTCTAGGTTGATGTCCAGTTTATTATCTGCTCTGATTCGGCTGGTTTCATGTATCAGTTGTTGTTTAACTTGATCTAATTCAATTTTCATTTTCTCATTCTCTGCTCTCGGATTTACAAATTCACTTTTTTCTAGGAAGTCCTTATCTTTCCTGATAGAATCCAAAGGAGCCATTCACTCTTGAACTGTTATTTCCTGTTGCACCTGAGTGACCATCTCCTTATAGATAGTATCCAGGCTGACATTAAAGTGGTTAAGGCTGATACAATTGTTTCTGCTTGTGCTTTGTCAAATCCATGAGTTTCTAAATCCTGAACCAATGCATGGGTATCAAAAGTTAATTTCCCTTGTTGTAAAGGTGTTATATGTCCACTGGCCTCCTATCATATACTTCCTTGCTTGTGGTGGTCAAGAAATCTCTCCACAGGGCCAGCGAGAAACAGCTGCGCGGAGTTGAAACCCAGAGGTCCCCGCTGCCACCGGTGTGCAAGAGGCGCCAAGCCCAGCGACACCTCATGTTCTCAGCTTTCCTAGGGGCAGGAAGCGGAAGGCGGGCCTTACCTTTACTTTTCACAGGTTTGATTACGATGTCCCCTGGTGTGAATCTCTTTGGTTTTTTCCCTACTCAGGGTTGTATCAGCTTCTTGAATCTGGAGATGTTTGTCTTTTGCCAGATTTGGGGAATCTTCTGCCATGCCTTCAGCTCCATGTTTTTCCTCTCCTCTCTCCTGAGATTGTGCAGATATGAATGTTACATCTTTTGTTATAGTTCCAGCAGGCACTGAGGCATTGCCTTTTCTTCTTTTCTTCAGTCTATTTTCTATTGCCTATATTGGGTAATTTCTAGGGTTGTACCTTCAAATTCATGGATTCTTTCCATTTTGCTTTAAGGTCATCCATTGAATTTTGATTATGTTTTTATAAATTTCTATATACTTCTTTATATCTTGCATTTCTTTGCTGACACTTTTTGTTTCAAATGTGTTCATTTTTATCATGCTTGCTTTAAAATTCCTCTCATGATTCTGAGATTTGTATCATCTTGGTATTATTGTCTTTTCTCATACAAGTTCAGATTTTTCTTATTCTTGGTATGATGAGTGTTTCCTATTGGCAGGATATTCTGACTGTTAGCACACTCCATGTCTTAATTTTTTTAAGTCCTGGAGATTAAACCTAGGACCCTGTCCATGGTAAAGAAGTGCTGTCATGTGAGCTAAACCCCAACCTAAATCTTCTGTTTAACAGGCTGCCTCTGACACTGTGCTGGTGGTAGAAGGGACAGTGATGACTTGTTGCTATCAGGGAGGGGCAGAAGTCCAAGTTCTCAGTCAGCATTAGCTGATTCCATGTGGCAGGGACCTTGTTACTGATGGAAGGAGGTGGCATTCAGACTCCCTCCAGACACCCCTCACTCGGAAGGAAGCAGAGAGGTGCCTTGCGGTCCTCTGGTGGGGGTCTAAGTCTAGGTGCCTGTGTGGTCTGCAGGGACACTACTGGTGGGCAGGAGGCCACTCATTACCTCTGGGCAAAGATGAAAGACTCCCAGCTGCCCTACTCCATCTCTGCTGGCAGAGGTAGGGATGGTACTGCAGGTTTTCCTCTGTACTGGATAGAGTGGTTATTGTCTAAAAGTTTTCTGTCTTGGACCTTTGATTAGACAGAGCATGCTCTTCTTAGGAATTTTTTTCCTGAAACTTTTGGCATTTCTGGGTTGTCAGTTGTATAGTGCCCAGCCTGGGGTATATGAAGTAAAACAAAAACAGAATTCAGGGAACTTAATACCATGCTGCTTGCTTGTGCTCTGAGGTCCCTAGCTGGCCTTGCCACCTTCTCTTGATCTGTTAGTCTTTAGACTTGTTTTCTATGTAATTGCAGGGATACTGGTTGTACTCAGCACGAGGAATGGAAGTAGTGCATCTATTTCATTTTCCTGGAACTCAAAACTTGCATTTGTTCTTTCAAAATTTGTGTTTATTTTTCCAGATAGTCCCAACAAAATTCTGCCCTTTTCACAGATTTGCTCAAGTATTTAAGTCAGTGATGGGCAAGAAAATATGGGGACAATGGTACACATGTTTAGTCCTAGCTGCTTGGGAGGCTGAGGCAGGAGGATTGCTTGAGCCCATGAATTCAAGACTAGCCTGAACAACATAGTGAAACCTCATTTAGAAAAAAAAAAAAAGAAAAGAAAAGAAAAAAGCAAGCACAGAGAACATTTCTAAGGAAGTTCACTAATGGCAGATAAGGGAGGATGCTATACTCAAGCTTATTTTTGCTAAACCCCTCTCCCACTTCCACTAGGCGGCTAGGAGTCTGTTAAGAGTCAGAAGTGTGTATGGGTGTGTCCCACACCCTGTCAGTGCCCCCTAAGAGGCCAGGAGCAGAACAGAATTTGAACTGAAATGTACAGATAGCAATTTTTTTTTTTTTTGGTACCGGGGATCGAACTCGGGACCTTGCGCTTGGGAGGCAGGGGCCAGAACCACTGAACTAAATCCCCAGCCCAAACTGAAATGTAAAAAACAAATTCAAGCCACTTGGCGTCAAAGCTGCTGTGAGTAATGGCCTAAGGAATCTAGATGTTCTCATCTTCCCCGGGGTCCTGAACCTCTCCTTAAAATCTGCTCCAACGAGGGGGACTCTGTCTGGTGGCGAGCACCGGAGGAGCTGGCCAGCGGCCTTGACAAGACTGCTTTGTACTGTGGGTGCCCACTGGGACTTGGGGATAGGGCCTGCTGGTACTGACTGCAGGGACCCTCACCGGCTCCGTCTCCTCCACAGCAGCTTTTGGTGGTGGAGCTGTGGCGGGGCTGGGGCAGCTGGCCTCCTCCTGAGAAGCGCTGCTGCAGTTCTTGGGGCCTACATGGCATAGCTGTGCGGATGGCCCTCACCACTCACACAGCACAGCGCAGCACAGCAGCTGCTGTGCCTGACTGGAGACTTGGATTTGTTTATGTCCTACTTTGTTCCAATACAGAATCCAGAGTGTCTTTCCCTCATGGGCCTTGTGGAGAGGGTGCTGGTGCTGTGGTGAGAAGGGAGCTCTTTCTGTCCTCAGGGAGCAGACATCTTGGAAAAGGACAGAGAATGCCTTTGCGGCTGCAGAGAAGCAGAAGGTAAGGGAGAAAGTAAAGCCCTGGGCTCCAAAATTACCCCACATTTGTGAGAGGTTGAAGATCTTTGGAGAAAAATGGGTAAGGAGATAAAAGCCGAAAGCATTAAAAAAAAAAAAAGCAAAAAAAAAAGCAGAAAGCACATCTGAGTTAGTTTCTGTCAATCCCAAAGCAATTCCTAAACTAATTTGGGGGTTAAAAACATTATAACTATAAAATTATTTGTAATATTTAGAGGGAAATACAGTAATTTGCACAGAGAATTTGGATGTGGCTGTGTATCTGACTAACCTCTGAAATCAGATCCAAATCTTAAAAAATGTTCCAGAGGCATCCAAAGTCAAGCCACTTGTCCCTAAGAGGATGTAGAAAGAAAGTTGGTGAGGTAAGTAATTCAAGGCCAAATGATGCTTTACCAGTGTTATAGAACTCCAGCCCCTGAGGAGACTGCAAGTATTAGAGAAGACAGAGGGGAAAGCTGCCTTAGGAAAAATCTATTGTGTGCATCCTCAGGGCAGGGGAAGACCAGACCCAGGGGAGGCCAAGAGATCTGGGGACTCGAGCAACTATGCAGCTGTGGGCCAGTCCCTTCCCCACGTGGAGCCTCAGTTTCTTCACTGATAAAATGGGGCCGTCATGCAATGGGAAAGGCACAGATTCCCACTCGTGGCCTTGCTCAATGGATGGTGATTCTGCCCCTGCCCCGGCTCCCAGCAAACATCCAGGTGTGAAATGTGGAAAGGTCTGCAGGCCTGAGAGTGCCAGTGACTCATTTTGGATCCATTAAAAGATCCAAATACATATCCTAGAATATATTCAGATTTCTACAGATGTACAGATATGAAATGTAAATATAACAGAAGGGTGCTCCGATCTTTGTACTGGATTGTAACCTTTTAACATGGTAAATATCATGCCTGACAAGATGAACATGAGCATGACTGCTGTGATCAGCACATGAATCCCCACTGGGTTCATACCGCACAATGAAAGCAGTAATGTTCAGATACCCTGCTCCCAAGTGAGCCCAACTAGAAGATCTTTGAAACCAAGGCTGATGTTACGTTTAAAGAATGAGAATCCACCCCACTTTCTGCTGTTGTTGGAGGGTCCTTTCTTTCTTAAGAGATGAATAATGTCACACAAAACACTCAAAAGACTCACCAGGGCTTGCAGCTTAGGACAATGAATGGAGAGCTGGATGAGCGTGCTGTCAGTTATCTGGGGAAAAACATGCTGTCAGTGTGGCTGCTATGCCAGAGCTTAATACTGTGCCTAATCCTGGCTTCTCCTGAACATGGGGCTCAAAAGGTACAAAAGAGAATTAAAAATTCATCCAGACACACTGTCTGGGAGTGCCTGTCTTCACCAGTACCCTCAAATCTGTCTGCTCCTGGAGATGCAAAACTGTCCTTTGGTCTCACCTCTGGTACCTCCAGGGGGCCTGGGGGCAGGGGATAAAGAGGGAGTAGACGAGAAGAGCTCCTTGGAGTCTCCTCAGCACTGGACATGCAAGCTTATTCCTCCCTCAAGGTCTGTGAAAAAATAGAAGGTTTTTTTCATTTTAATCCTTGGCAAATGAAGGAGCTATCTTGAATTTATTTGCTGTAATTCTGTCTGGTGACTGGGAACAGTCACAAGTTTGCACATTCCACTACCATGGCCCTAGAGGGTTCCCTTAACCCTACCACCTCCACTGAAGAGGAAGGATTGAGACCACAGGTGGTCTGTGTTCCTGGCTCAATCAGGGACCCTTCGGGGTCTCTCCGAGTCCACTCACCAGGATGCATTCCTCTAGATCCATCTTCTCCAGGTCATGGCAATTCTGAAAGAGTCCACAACACACACCTGCTTTGTGGGTCCCTGGGTAGGGCAACACTGGACTCTCACTCGTCCCCCCGAGTACCACCAGGGTCCTATTCTCTTCCATTAAATAGTGTGCCCTGCTCCTGGAGCACCCAGTGAACCAGCACTTCTGAGCTGGTGTCTTTGAGTCACAGACAGCTTGGGAATAGGAATGGGGTTACCCTGACTACATTTCTTTTTCTCAACTTGGAGAGTTTCTTGGACCTTCCCAGTGGCTCCTAGATATCAGCAGGTAAAACTGAACCACTAGGCATGAGCATAGGGCCCTCATCCACACATGGGGAGGAGCAGAGGTAGGAGGAGGAGTACATCAGCATCTCCAGGACACAGGCTCCTGGCCTCCATCCCACAGAGGGCCCCACAGTGACATGGTGATCTGTGTCCACAGGCAATGTTGAAAATGGAGCAGAGGGCAGAGCACCAGCCTAGTTAGAGGAAGATGCAGAGAGGCCAGATTAGGGTCCATATGGGAAGGGTGTCTCCTGACCAAGTGAGAGGGAGGTCTAGACCTTTCCAGAATCCTCCATAGGATCTTGCCAGATTTCTGGTCAACTGGAAAAAATGCAAAGCACATCCCTAGGGCTCTATCTGACTTTGTGCTTTTCTGAAGCTAGCTTTTTACACCCCTAAACCACCCCAAGTCTTCTTTTTTTTTTTCAGACAGGGTCTCACTATGTAGTTCAGGCTGGCCTTGAACTCATGGTGATCTTCTTGCCTCAGCCTCTCCAGTGCTAGGATTACGGGTGTGTGCCACACCTTGCCACCTCAAATAGGAAAGTGGATTACAGTTTGGTTTGGTTTAAAAAAACCTATCCCTTACCCGAGCTAAAAGTGTAAAGCCCGCATCAGTCAAATGAGTGCAGCGGGCAGCCTCCAAGATTCTGGGAATGAAGTAGGCATGAAGGGGAGAGAAAGTGCCAGCTGGTTAACAGTAGAAACACACACTTTACAATGCACGTTCCAGAGTTTCTTCTGCTCTTTGACACACTTTTGCTTCTAGCTCTAAGGACTGTAAAGTGCAAAAACTATTTCTACTGGACAATAAGGAGCTTAGGGAGGCTTAGGCAGGAATGCAACCTGCCCAAGACCCTAAAGTCTCATCCAGAACACAGACACTAAATCCAGGAATCTTCCCTCTGTACCAGTACATTCCTTATAAATATCTAATATTTAAAGATGAACTTTTACTCAAAGTAAAAAGTCATCATCAAATTTATTAAAATTCTGAGTTACCCAACAGGAAATTTAAATAATCTGTAGGCAGTGAAAAAACATGAAATAATTCTGTTACCCGTGCTTATGAGGAAAAAATTCATAAGTAACATTTCAAAGTTAACACTCCCTTACAGCAATAATTTTGACCTGATTTCTGGCCAGGTTGGTTGGCTTCTTTCCTCTCCTCTTCTCCCCTCCTGTCCCCTCCCCATCTCTTCTTTTCTTTCTTGTGAAATCAAACCCAGCATCCCACATGCTAAGCACAAGCACTAAGCTACTCCAGCAGCCCTCTGACCGGCTCTGCTCATCCAGACCCTTCTGGCTAAGCATGACATACTCACTGCATTCTCGGGCAGTTCAAACCCAGGGCTGCCAGGGATGCATCTGTTAGGTTGCTGCACCCAGAAAGGCTGAGGGCTTGCAGCTGGCGGCAGCCCCTGCAAATCTGCACCACACCCTCATCCGTGATGCGCTGGGGAAAAAAGTTCAGGAAAAGATGCTACAGGACATCAACACTGAAAGAGGAGTGCAGAAAATTGAGATCTACTGATCGCTTGATTAGTTTGTTGCCAGTTACTATCACTTTCTCCTAATAAATTAGAAGTAGAGGGCAGCCATGTACTTGCATTATCTCTGCACAGCTTTAAAATATTCTAGCTTTACTGACGGAAAGTTAAAGTTTAAGATTCCATTTGTATTTTCACGAGTTATAAAAACAGGTACAGGGCTGGGGATTTAGCTTAGTGGTTTCGCTGCCTGCTGCACAAGCTCAAGGACCCGAGTTCGATCCCTGATACCAAAAAAAAAAAAAAAAAGTACAGATTTAACTGGGGGAGGTGGAGGGATGAGGGAAAAAAGAAGGGAACTGAAATGTGTTATGTACATGTACCAGTCCTCTACAGTAAATGTAGTCACTATGTACTGCAAACATTACTAAAGTGGAAAAAATAACAAATTTTTTAAAAGATTTGATTTTTTTCAAGGAAAAATTTCTGATGATAAAACATCAGCTCAAATGAAGAGCTCAGGAGACCCACTGAGCTAAATAACGTATTAATATTTGGTTGACAATCTACAGATTAATGCCTTATCTATTCACCATATAAACCATATATATGTAAATAGGAAAATTAAGTCGTTATTGATAAATGCCTTAGCATTCTATTAAGTCATGAAGATTCAAAATAGTATCTTCACTTAAATATACTTCATGTAGAAATAAACATGTACATTTGTATTATGCTTTAAGCTATCTGCCAATGCTATCCTACATGAAGTTTGAGGATCTACTTTTGAACAGTCCCCAGCTCCATAAAGGCAAGACTTGTCCAGAAGACAGTTTGTTTTCTCTTCTTACCATCAGGGACTCTACAGATTTAAGATTCATCCATTAAAAGCCAAATACAAGGGCTTTCTCTTACCTTTCTCAAAATCTACACTCCCCTTGAAAAAGCTCAGAGGCTACTACAAGCATCATTTTTATTTATCAACATCTACTCCGCAGTGAAGAAGTGTTTTTTATAGGCTATGTCCTGATGAAAATGTAAGTTTGCTCTTGCACATGCCCTTTATTTTTCAAAGCATTTCAGCATCTGTTATTTCATTTTATCCACTGTAAAATTAGGTATGTCATTATCCCCAATTTATTTAATTTTGGGGGGTGCACTGAGACAGGTTCTTGCTATGTAGTTCAGTCTGTTCTTGAACTTACTATGTAGCCCAGATTGGTCTTGAACTCGAAGTAACCCTCCTGCCTCAGCCTCCTGAGTGCTGAGATTACAAACATGTACCACCACATGCCCAGTATCATTCCCAATATATGTTACAAAAAAAAAAAAAAAAAGAAATTGAGATCTTATTATGAACTGTTCAGGTCTAACAACTAGTAGCAATTTCACAGCATTTCTAATATATATCCTTCCTCAATACTCTGAAAAAATCAAGACCAAATTCATTATTTTTAAGGAGATATCAGTGGCTTTATATTATGATGATGCCTTGTTTTTCTTTTATCTCGTGATAAGACAGATCATATAAGAACCTAGGAAGACAAATCGGGGTGTGGCAACGTGACCATGTGCCAATCATCGCCGCAGGGGCCAGTGCAGACTCCCGTGGGAGGGCGCGCGGGGTAGGCAGCGCTACTTACTGAGCAGGACTGCAGGTTGAGGCTCACGAGCTCATGGCAGTAATTCTGCATGTGTTTCAAAGCTTCATCTTCCAACTGAGCAGACAGAGAAAGCAGAAGAGGATGAAATCTAGGTAACAGCAAGCTCCCTGACACACAGGACGACAGCCGCATGGCCCCTTGGTACCTGCGTGCAGCCCCGCAGGAGCAGGGCTTTCAGGCACCGACACCCTCGCACCAGTGCCTCAATGCCATCCTTCGTGATCTGATCGCACCAAGAGAGGTTCAAGTACTCCAGGTTTCGGCAGCCCTCACTGAGAAAACAAGGAAGGGAAACACCTCTGTGCGTTCTCTCTGCAAAGTGTATTATCAACATTCGATTTAGGACACCACAGCCATTCTGGGAGGGAGACAACCCCAGGGCTCATTGAGCTGCCTATTTCTTGCGCTAATGGCACCATTAGAAAGGCCTCAGATAAACCAGAGTGGTCACCATTTCAGTATTTTCTTGACCACGAACAACAGGCACTCCTACCTGATGCACTTTAAGGAGCTGTTTGTAACAGACACGCAGGAGGTCAGATCCAAGTGTTTCAGCTTAGAACAGAATCTGCTAAGGCTATAACACGTGCTGAAAAAGAGCAGACGCACTAAAGATATTTTCAACCATGTTTCTCTCCCCAACCCTCCCCACAGCCACTTAGTCCCCAGACTCATCCTCATTACTTACCTGTCAGTGATTTTTGTGCACCCGTTGAGGTTTAAATGTTCAATGTTTCGGCAGTTCTGGGCAAAGGTCCTAAAATGAGAACATGCTTTTAAACTCCATGCAAGTTGCTGGGCAGCCACTAGAGGGCATCTGTAACCATTCGTTCTGCTTTTCAAACATTAACCAGCAAAGGAATCAGCCCAGGTTTTGGTCACTGCAGATTCCGACCATAGCTAGGGAGTGGGGCTGTATAATCTACATTCTCTTCCTGATGCACCCTTGCTAGTCTAAGACCATATTTGGAGAAGCAAGGCCCTACACTGACTACTTATCAATCCACTCTCCTTCACCTACACCTTGATGAATCATCTGAGATGGAGGCCTGGTTCCCCGATTCTTCCCCTTTATAGGAAAATCAATCCGAAGCAAGGGGGTGAATCTTTCTTGTACTGTGCCATGTTGCCACTGGTTACCCATGGGACTTTCTAAAGAAACCATCTCTGGCCACCGAGAGGGGTCAGCAATGTGATCAGTACCAAGATCCATCCATTTATGGGTGAGGACACTGAGTCACGAAGAGCAACTTCTAAGTGACCTGTGGGCTGGTAGCAAACAAAGCATCCCTTAACATATTCAGCAAGGACTGCCTCATGTCACTTGCATCTTCCTGAGATACAGCCTCGACACATCTTAGAGAATTGAGTCCCGACTCTTCCATGGGGTACCCAAAGCCTCTAAAACCTGCCCTTGGAGCAGATGTCACCTTATCTGCTCTTTCTGACCTGCCAAAGTGCAAGGAGGGGGAACCAAACTGGAGCCTGATGGACTCTGATATAAGCAGATGAAGCTGAAATCTAGGAAGACCACATTGGCCAGAGTGGAGAACATGTCACAAAGAAAAACCCAGGATCTGTACAGGTGCCCTCTGATAAATTCAACAGAGTGCTGACCAGTATGTACATGAGGAAATGTCCCAGGGCTGGGGAAAGAATCAGCTAAAAGCACCAGAGGGAACAATAGCAAAGCTTGTCCAGGGCGATGAACAGTGACCACTCTGATCACACCAATAAAAACATAGGTCATGGAGCTTTGGGTAGTGTACTGAGACAGGTCTTCTTTCAGGAGCAGAAGACAATTATCCCTAAACCAGTGATGGTGAACCTTTTATAGACCGAGTGCCCAAACTGCAACCCAAAACCCACTTAGCACAAAGTGTCAACACAGCAATTAGACCTGAATACTGAGGTGTTAGAGAAAAACAACTCATACATTAGCATCTTTTGTCTTAAAAGAAAAAGACAATAACACAATAACAGAACTTTCAATGATACAAACAGCTTTTTATTGAACGGTAAAAGTCGGCATTTGGTGTGCTTTTGTACACTGTTATCCAAAGCTGTTATCCATGTTGGGGTGATGCTGGGGTAACTTTGCTCTCGTGTCGACAGAGGGCCCTGCATCCCCACTGTGACACGCATGCCATATTCGCCACCACTGCTCTAGACTAAACACTGCCTTGGTCCAATTTAACAAAAAAATTATTTTCTAATGCTGAGATTGAACTAGGATCTTGTGTATGCCAGGCAAGTACTCTACCACTGAGCTACATCCCAGCCCCAAACTTAGCAAATTTTAAGAATAAGATCCGAACAGAACTATCCCCAAGTAAGTCAATGGCATCTCAGAATAAAATTCAAAACCCAGGAGTAATTATAGAAACACGTAAATGTTCTGTACTCAACAAGGTAAAATGTACAATGTCTGGCATTGAATGAAAATCATGCTTTCAAAGGAGGAGGAAAACATATTCATAAGGAACAGAAAAGTCATTCTTTAAAAATCTATCCCAAACTGACACAGATGTCAGAAATAGCAGACAAGGATATGAAAAGTTATTGTAACTGCAGCCCATAGAATACAGTGATACCTCAGTTCATGAACTTAATTTGTTCCACAATTCTGGTCACAAGCTGATTCAAATTTTCCCATTAGGGTCAAAGTAAACAAGGTTAATCCATTCTGAACTATACGTATTTTTTAATCACAAAAATATGAAACAATATAGTACAGTATGAAGAGAGAGAACACTAACCTCGCTTGAGGTGACTTTTGGTGTGGAGGACAGGAAGGTGGGTGGGGAGGAGGTTATTGTTTGGAGGGAGAGTCCCCCTCCATAAGGACATCTGAGATCTCCTTCATGGGTTTCCTCTCTTCTGTGGCTCTTAGCTGCAGGGTCAATTTTGATGAAAACTGTCTAATGTCACCTGTTTTTTCCTGAGATGCATAACCCTCCAGAAATGAGAGACCATATTATCGTTCATCAGATCCAACACTGTTCTTTACAGTTAAGTTGGGGTGGTGCTTCTCAAAGAAATCCTGGCACTCATTCCATTTTTCCTTAATGGATTTTATCACATCACTGCTAACCTCCTCCCTGTCTTCCTCTTTCTCAGAGGAATTCTGTTCAACAAGCACCTTCTGCTGCTCACTTCTGTCGTCAGCTCCTCCATATGGTCCTCAACAAGCTCCTCTATGTCTTCTGCACCATCAACATCCAGACTCTTGCCCTTGGACACAGTCTCCTCCCTACCTGTGCATCAGACCCTTCCAAGTCACAATCCGTGACACATTCTGGCCACAGTTTCCTCCAGGATGAGTTTAAGGTCCAGTACGTGACGTCTTCCCAGGCTTTGTCAATAAGGTCGATGCAGTGGAGGATATTGAAATGTTTCTTCCAGAACTCTTTCAGAGTCAAGGACATATCTTTGGTGACACTAAAAGACCTGGTGAAGAGTGGCTTGTGCACAACTTCTTGAAGCTGCAGATCACTTGTGGTCCGTGGACTGCAGAAGAGGTGTCATGTTGAGGTGGAGAACTTCATCTTTATGAAATCAAACTCAGGGTTCAATTCATCCACCAAGGCTGCAGGGTCTGCTGGGGCATTATCCATCAGAAGAAGGCACCTTCCAGGCAGCTGGCTGTGAGAAAGAGATTTCTTAATGGTAAGTGCAAACACCTCATGCAGCCATTCCATGAACATCAGCCTTGTGACCCAAGCTTTCACACTGGCCCTCCACATGACAGGCAATTTGGCCTTGAATGCACATGGGGTCTTTGAATGTACACCATTCCAATCTCTCAATCTGTCCTTCGTGAGTTTGTGCCCTGACAGTGCCTTTTCCTTCTGTGTGATATAGGTTCCATTTGGCATCTTCTTCCAGAAGAGCCCTCTTTCATCACAGTTGAATACTTGTTGAGCAACGTATTCTTCTGCCTCCATGAATCCCATCAATTCTTTCCTGTAGGCTTCTTCAGAGGCCTTGTCAGAACTAGAAGCCTCACCATGTCTTACCACACCATGGATGCCACATATCTTGTGGAATTTATCAAACCACCCTCTACTCATTACCTGTTGCACTTGTAGAGGAGTTTTCTTGAAGTTAATCACTATGCAATTTCTTGGCTTTTTCACAGGTCATAGCTTCTTTCACTAACGCTATCACCCGCCAGCTGTTTTGCATTCCACTACACTAACAAAAGTTTCTCCACCTCTTCCAGCACTTTTGTCCTCTGCTTGGTTAACATCATTACTCCTTTTGCCACATCAGCTCCTTTGATGGTATCTTTATTCTTCAAAATTGAAGCTTCACCACCTTGTACTCAAAGGCCAGATCAGTCACACAAATACCATGCTCATGCTTTTCTACAATTTCCTTCTTCAGTTCAATGGTTATTTTATTCAAAACCTTCTTCTTACCATTATTGCTCTGCAACTTCTTGTCACTTTCATTACCACTCTGCATATTCTTTTTAGCACTATGCTTGCTCTGCACTTTCTTTGAAGCCATGCTGGGTTGAATAATACTGCCCAGTGCTGTATGTGCTAACAAGCACATAGAAAAGCTTCACAGTAAGTGTGCACAGGTCTGTCTGCAACCACGATCTCAACTAGAGGAAGCCATAGCCACATGTCAGAGTGAGAAAGATGGCCACGTTCATATTCATGCAGGGCAGATGGCTGGGCTCATGTTGTTCGAGAAAAGAACCGAGGCATTGCTGTAACGTTTTCATGAATACAGTTTTTTGAAACTAAAGATTAAATATGTTAATTTCTAGACACATAAAAGATATTTTAAGAGACCCAGATTAAACATTTAGATATGAAAACCATAATGGCTGAGATGAAAATTTACTACATGGGATTAACAGCAGATTAGATATGGCAGACTGGTGAACTTGAACACATAGCAACAAAAACTAACAAAACGTAGAGGGAAAAAAACAAAAAAAGAACAGAATAGGAATGAATTGTGGGACAATTTAATACATGAGAATCCGAGTACTTAAAAAGTAGGAGATAGGGCTGGGGATTTAGCTCAGTGGTTCCACCGCCTGCCTTGCAAGCACAAGGTCCCGAGTTCAATCTCCAGTACCAAAAAAAGCAGGAGATAAAAGAGAGGAAAAAATATCTCAAGAAAATAGTGGCCATAGTTTTTCTAAACTTTATGGAAACTGTAAACCCACAGATCAAAGAATTCAAAGTTCCCTGAACACAAGAAAGATGAAGAAAAATACACCAAGACTTATCATAACCAAACTGATCCAAACCAGCTGACAGAGAAAATCTGAAATCAGCCAGAGAACAGTGACATGAGGCATGAAAGTACAGAGAAAAAATAATAAGGGTGACAGATTTCTCAATGGTAACCTAGAAAAAAAAAGAGAGAGGGAGGGAGGGAAGGGGGAAAGGGGGGAGAAAGAAAGGAAAGAAAGGAAAGAAAGAAAGAAAGATAGATAGATTGATTGATTTTCAGGGCCAGATGGCCTCAATGAATTCTATCAAATACTTCTTTATTTTTTTAATTTTAATTTTAATTTTTTTGGTACTGGGGATCAAACTTGGGACCTTGCACTTGTGAGGCAGGCACCAGAACCACTGAGCTAAATCCCCAGCCCAAATACTTCTTTTTTTTTTTTGGTACTGGGGATCGAACTCAGGACCTTGCACTTGCAAGGCGGGCGGTGGCGGAACCACTGAGCTAAATCCCCAGGCCCCTATCAAATACTTAAAGGAAAAAAATTCTACATAA